CAGCTTTCTGGCCTGGACACATCCTGTCACCAGCAATGTCACCTTGGGGGAGCCTGAACCCATTTTTTTTCAGAGGGATCAGGGCTCAGTGTCCCCTATTTGCTTTGAGAAGAGCTGGGGGCACCCAGCAGCAGCCCCAGAACACCTGAAACCCTTTCCACCCTCCCAGACCACATAAATTTCATGGTTTGGGCTGGAAAGAGATAAAACAGAGCCAGCTCTGACCTTGGGAGCACCAGGCCCCGAAGAAATGAGGATGAGGGGGAGGAAGGAGGATCGGGGCAGAGCCTGGAGAGGAGAGCTCACACTTTGCAGAGTAATTAAAAATTCTGATCCAGCAGGCAGCGGAGGGTTGTGGCCCCTTTCCTCGGCAGATCAAAGCTTGTTTTGGCAGAGGCAGCGCTTCAATATATTTATAAAAAGAGCTGCCTGTGTCTGCGGCCTCCCCTGCGCTGCTTTTGATATCCCAGGCAGCCTCATTCTTCATGGAGCATCAGAAATCTGCACAGAACCCGACCGAGCACCCAGCGAGGCCCTTGGGGGCAGCTCCAGCCCTTTGGGATCACCCCTGTGGGATTGGGGATCTCCTGGTGATAACACATCCCTGCCCCGGGGCAGCCMAAAAATCTTCCACAAAAAATCCTGTGGTTTTTTACCAGCTTTTCCCATCCCTTTGGGATCCACTGGAGTGTCCAGGTTGTCAATTCACCTCTGATTTTATGTTTAATATTCATTGGCACCGATCTGCTGGTGTGGTCAGGACAGGCTGTGCCTTTTACTCAGCTTTGGGTTTATTTCACCTGCAGGAACCAGCACAAATTCACCCAAAATATCATTTAAAATGGATTAGTCGGGCTCCATCCAGTCAGATCTCAAACTTGGCCTTTGSTTTCCTCGGATGTAATTTGCTCAGGAAACGAGGAAGTTAAAAATCTTCGGTCCAGTTGAGTTRATCCGCGTTATTTTCATACCTGCGGTTAATTCAGGGGACGTTTCCTGATGGTTGCTGTAAAAACAGATGGAGGGAKAGGGGCAGGGAGCAGAGGAGGGGTTTGCCCGCGTGCCCAAAACCTCTGGCACCATTTCAGACSCTCTGAAAAGGGCTGAACCCACCCTCAGCTGTGAGCTGGGCACCCCAAACCCTCATCTCGCTGCTCGCCCGGTGCCCGTGGCACAAGCCCAGAGCCTTTCCCGGGTCACTCGGCTGCCACCTCTCATCCGTCAGCCCGGCAAAGCTCGGCCAGGTCCCAGCCCTGCTCAGCACCCCGTGAAAATGCAGCTCTGCCTCCCTCCCTGCCCGCTCCTCGGCCATGAGATCATCCCTGGCTGCCGCGGCACCTCGGGCTCCGGGCGGGGATTGGCGGGATCCGGGCAGGGATTGTCGGGATCCGGGCAGGAATTGTCGGGATTCGGGCGGGGATTGTCGGGATCTGGCTGGGAATTGTCGGGGTCCAGGCGGGAATTGTCGGGATCTGGGTGGGGATTGTCGGGATCTGGATGGGAATTGTCGGGATCCGGGCGGGAATTGTCTGGATCTTGGTGGGAATTGTAGGGGTTACAGTGGGGATTATTGGGGTTCGAATGGGAATTGTCGGGTTCGTGTGGGGATTGTTGGGATCCGGGCGGGGATTGTCGGGATCCGAATGGGAATTGTCAGGATCTGGGTGGGAATTGTCAGAATCCGAATGGGAGTTGTTGGGATCTGGGTGGGAATTGTCAGGATCCGAATGGGAATTGTTGGGATCTGAATGGGAATTGTCTGGATCTGAATGGGAATTGTCGGGATCTGGGTGGGAATTGTCGGGATCTGGGTGGGAATTGTCGGGATCTGGGCGGGAATTGTCGGGATCCGGGTGGGAATTGTCGGGATCCGAATGGGAATTGTCAGGCTCCGGGCGGGGATTGGCAGGATCTGAATGGGAATTGTCAGGATCCGAATGGGAATTGTCGGGATCCGGGCGGGGATTGTTAGGATCCGGGTGGGAACTGTTGGGATCCGGGTGGGAATTGTCGGGATCTGGGTGGGGATTGTCGGGATCCGGGTGGGGATTGTCAGGATCCGGGTGGGAATTGTCGGGATCTGGGTGGGAATTGTTGGGGTCAGAGTGGGAATTGTCGGGATCTGAATGGGAATTGTCGGGATACGAATGGGAATTGTCAGGCTCCGGGCGGGGATTGGCAGGATCTGGGTGGGAATTGTCTGGATCCGAATGGGAATTGTCGGGATCCGGGCGGGGATTGTCGGGATCCGAAAGGGAATTGTCGGGATCTGGGTGGGAATTGTCGGGATCCAGGCGGGAATTGTTGGGATCTGGGCGGGAATTGTTGGGATCCGAATGGGAATTGTCGCGATCTGGGTGGGAATTGTCGGGATCCGAATGGGAATTGTCGGGATCCGAATGGGAATTGTCAGGATACGAATTGGAATTGTCGGGATATGAATTGGAATTGTCGGGATCTGGGTGGGGATTGTTGGGGTCCGAATGGGAATTGTTGGGGTCTGGGTGGGAATCGTCGGGATCTAAATGGGAATCNTGGCACAAGCCCAGAGCCTTTCCCGGGTCACTCGGCTGCCACCTCTCATCCGTCAGCCCGGCAAAGCTCGGCCAGGTCCCAGCCCTGCTCAGCACCCCGTGAAAATGCAGCTCTGCCTCCCTCCCTGCCCGCTCCTCGGCCATGAGATCATCCCTGGCTGCCGCGGCACCTCGGGCTCCGGGCGGGGATTGGCGGGATCCGGGCAGGGATTGTCGGGATCCGGGCAGGAATTGTCGGGATTCGGGCGGGGATTGTCGGGATCTGGCTGGGAATTGTCGGGGTCCAGGCGGGAATTGTCGGGATCTGGGTGGGGATTGTCGGGATCTGGATGGGAATTGTCGGGATCCGGGCGGGAATTGTCTGGATCTTGGTGGGAATTGTAGGGGTTACAGTGGGGATTATTGGGGTTCGAATGGGAATTGTCGGGTTCGTGTGGGGATTGTTGGGATCCGGGCGGGGATTGTCGGGATCCGAATGGGAATTGTCAGGATCTGGGTGGGAATTGTCAGAATCCGAATGGGAGTTGTTGGGATCTGGGTGGGAATTGTCAGGATCCGAATGGGAATTGTTGGGATCTGAATGGGAATTGTCTGGATCTGAATGGGAATTGTCGGGATCTGGGTGGGAATTGTCGGGATCTGGGTGGGAATTGTCGGGATCTGGGCGGGAATTGTCGGGATCCGGGTGGGAATTGTCGGGATCCGAATGGGAATTGTCAGGCTCCGGGCGGGGATTGGCAGGATCTGAATGGGAATTGTCAGGATCCGAATGGGAATTGTCGGGATCCGGGCGGGGATTGTTAGGATCCGGGTGGGAACTGTTGGGATCCGGGTGGGAATTGTCGGGATCTGGGTGGGGATTGTCGGGATCCGGGTGGGGATTGTCAGGATCCGGGTGGGAATTGTCGGGATCTGGGTGGGAATTGTTGGGGTCAGAGTGGGAATTGTCGGGATCTGAATGGGAATTGTCGGGATACGAATGGGAATTGTCAGGCTCCGGGCGGGGATTGGCAGGATCTGGGTGGGAATTGTCTGGATCCGAATGGGAATTGTCGGGATCCGGGCGGGGATTGTCGGGATCCGAAAGGGAATTGTCGGGATCTGGGTGGGAATTGTCGGGATCCAGGCGGGAATTGTTGGGATCTGGGCGGGAATTGTTGGGATCCGAATGGGAATTGTCGCGATCTGGGTGGGAATTGTCGGGATCCGAATGGGAATTGTCGGGATCCGAATGGGAATTGTCAGGATACGAATTGGAATTGTCGGGATATGAATTGGAATTGTCGGGATCTGGGTGGGGATTGTTGGGGTCCGAATGGGAATTGTTGGGGTCTGGGTGGGAATCGTCGGGATCTAAATGGGAATCGTCTGGATCCAAATGGGAATTGTCGGGATACGAATGGGAATTGTTGGGATCTGGGTGGGAATTGTCGGGATTTGAGCGGGAATTTTCGGGATCCGGGTGGGAATTGTTGGGATCTGAGTGGAAATTGTTGGGATCCGAATGGGAATTGTTGGGGTCTGGGTGGGAACTGTCGGGATACGAATGGGAATTGTCGGGCTACGGGCGGCGATTGTCGGGATCCGGGTGGGATTTGTTGGGGTTCGAATTGTTGGCTCCGGGCGGGGATTGTCGGGATCCGAGTGAGAATTGTTGGGCTCTGAATGGGAATTGTCAGGATMCAAATGGGAATCGTTGGGGGCCGGGCGGGAATTGTCGGGATCTGGGTGGGGATTCTCGGGATCCAAATGGGAATTATCAGGTTCCAGGCGGGAATTGTTGGGGTCCGAGTGCGGATCATTGGGGTCCGAGTGGAAATTGTCATGGTGCAATTGGGGATTGTCAGGGTCTGGGTGGGAATTGTCGGGATCCGAGTGAGAATTGTTGAGGTTCGAGTGGGAATTGTCAGGATCTGGGTGGGAATTGTTGGGATCTGAATGGGAATTGTCAGGATCTGGGTGGAAATTGTTCGGATCTGAGTGGGAATTGTTGGGATCCGAATGGGAATTGTTAGGGTCCGGGCAGGGATTGTTGGGGTCCAGGAGGGAATCTGAATGAGAATTGTTAGGATCTGGGTGGGAATTGTCAGGATCCAAGTGGGAATTGTTGGGGTTCGAGTGGGAATTGTCAGGGTCCAGGTGGGAATTGTTGCGGTCCGATCAGGAATCATTGGGGTCCAAGCGGAAATTTTCGGGGTGCGAGTGGGGATTGTCGGGATCTGGATGGGAATTTTCGGGATCGGAGCAGGGATTGTTGGGATCTGGCTGGGAATAGTCAGGATCTGAGTAGGAATTGTCGGGATACGGGAATTGTCAGGGTGTGAGCAGGAATTGTCGGGATCTGAGCAGGGATTTTCGGGAACCGATCAGGGATTTTCAGGATCCGAGCAGGGATTGTCGCTGTCCAGCCCCCGGGGATAGGGCAGGGCTCAGCCTGGGGCCCTCCCCGGTGCGTTCCCCGCCTGCGCTGCTCCCCTTGCTCTGGGGAGTGTCTGTGGGGTGATTTTTGGGATTTTGGAGCGTGGCTGCACAGCTGGGAGAAGGTTGTGGCCACTGAGGAGGGCACAGGGTGGTCCTGCTTGACCCCACACCTCCAGCCCAGCACGCCCAGTGCCCCATTCTCGCTCCCAGCACGCCCAGTTTGGTGCTGCCTCCGTCTGAACCCACCCTGGGCTCAGCTTCCACGGCTCCCCCGGGTGAATTTGCCTGGCGGGGGTGAATTCTCGGTGCTGGCTGCGCCACCCAGGGGCTGAGAGAGCCGGAATGTCCCCGCTGGTGACCGCCGAGTGAGGAGCTGCGAGTGCAAACCCCAGCCCGTGCTCAGTGCTTCATTTCGTTCTGATTTCCTGCCTCTTGAGGCTTCACAGCTGAAGTCCCGAGGCAAAAGTTGATTTTCTGAGCTCCTGTGCTTTTCGCTGTTCCCGGCTGAGGGCAGCGGGATGGGGTAGGGGAATCTGAGGGGTTTGTTTTGCCAGAAGTGATTTTAATCCCAAACTCCTCCCGAGAGGAGGGAAACACCCTGATTCCTGCTGGCTGCGGTGCTCTCAGGGCGGTTCCCCGTCTGTGAGCTCCCCGAGGAAGGGCTGCTCCCTTTCCCTTTCAGTTTCTCCATCCTGAGCCAGCACGGAGGGTCCGGAGCCAGGGATGGGCTCCTCGGCGTTCCCCGGGTGCTGTTTGGGGTGTGTTTTGGAAATGCAGAGCCCCGGGGGTGGTGAGGCAGCGGGAATTTGGGGCAAAAAGCTGGAATTCACTCTGGATACAGAGAAGGAAATTATGCTCTCGTATCCTCGGAGCATCCCCGCCCTGCCCTCACCCCTCGGCACTTCTGCCACGTTCCCCCGGCTCACTCCGCTTTCCTTTTGTTCCCAGACCTGGCCCAGGGCCACCTGCAGCTGTCGCAGTTGGGCAGGGACCTGGCCGCGGACGGCAGCCCCGGGACCCCGCCGGGCGGGCAGGGCCGCTCCCCGGTGGCCGCCGTGCGCTACCGCAACCACGGCCAGCGCCGCTTCTCCATGGAGGCAAGTGCGGGGGGACCTGGGGACCTCTGGGTGTCACCTCCCCGCTGGCTGCAAGGGCCGGGATGAGCTTTAGGACGTGGCGGTGTCGGACACGAGCCCTGAAACGCTCTGGGGGGACATCGGTGGGGTCAGGCAGGGCCTGGGGTACATCCCATGTGCACCACCCGTTTTCCTTTTCCTCTTCCTTTTCCTCTTCCTTTTNGGGCGGGGATTGTCGGGATCCGGGCGGGGATTGTTGGAGTTAGAGTGGGATTTGTTGGGGTTCGAATGGGAATTGTTTGGGTTCGAATGGGAATTGTCGGATTCGGGTGGGGATTGTTCAGATCCAGGTGGGAATTGTCAGGATCTGGGTGGGAATTGTCAGGATCTGGGTGGGAATTGTCGGGGTCCAGGCCGGAATTGTTGGGATCTGAATGGGAATTGTTGGGATCTGAGTGGGAATTGTGAAGATCTGGGTGGGAATTGTTAGGATCTGGGTGGGAATTGTTGGGATCTGGGTGGGAATTGTCGGGATCTGGGTGGGAATTGTCGGGATCTGGGTGGGAATTGTCGGGATCTGGGTGGGAATTGTCGGGATCTGGGTGGCAATTGTCGGGCTCCAGGCGGGGATTGTTGGGATCTGGGTGGGGATTGTCAGGATCCGAATGGGAATTGTTGGGGGCCGGGTGGGAATTGTCGGGATCTGGGCGGGAATTGTCGGGATCCAAATGGGAATTGTCAGGTTCCAGGCGGGAATTGTTGGGGTCCAAGTGGGAATTGTCAGGATCTGGGTGGGAATTGTTGGGATCTGAATGGGAATTGTTGGGATCTGGGTGGGAGTTGTCGGGATCCAAGTGGTAATTGTTGGGGTTCGAGTGGGAATTGTTCAGGGTCCAGTCGGGAACTGTCAGGATCTGGGTGGGAATTGTCGGGATCCGAACGGGAATTGTCAGGGTCTGAGTAGGAATCATTGGGGTCCAAGCGGAAATTGTCAGGGTGCAAGTGGGAATTGTTGGGATCTGGGTGGGAATAGTCAGGATCTGAGTAGGAATTGTTGGGATACGGGAATTGTCAGGGTGTGAGCAGGAATTTTCGGGATCCAAGCAGGGATTTTCAGGATCCGAACAAGAATTGTCGGGATCCAAACAGGAATTGTTGGGGTCCGATCAGGGATTGTCGGGATCCAAGCAGGGATTTTTGGGACCCGATCAGGGATTTTCAGGACCCGAGCAGGGATTGTCGCTTTCCAGCCCCCGGGGATAGGGCAGGACTCAGATTGGGGCACTCCCCGGTGCGTTCCCCCCGCTACGCTGCTCCCCCTTGCTCTGAGGAGTTTCTGTGGGATGATTTTTGTGATTTTGGAGCGTGGCTTCACAGCTGGGAGAAGGGACAGAGCGATGTGGCCACTGAGGAGGGCACAGGGTGGTCCTGTTTGACCCCAAACCTCCAGCCCAGCACGCCCAGTGCCCCATTCTCGCTCCCAGCACGCCCAGTTTGGTGCTGCCTCCGTCTGAACCCACCCTGGGCTCAGCTTCCACGGCTCCCCCGGGTGAATTTGCCTGGCGGGGGTGAATTCTCGGTGCTGGCTGCGCCACCCAGGGGCTGAGAGAGCCGGAATGTCCCCGCTGGTGACCGCCGAGTGAGGAGCTGCGAGTGCAAACCCCAGCCCGTGCTCAGTGCTTCATTTCGTTCTGATTTCCTGCCTCTTGAGGCTTCACAGCTGAAGTCCCGAGGCAAAAGTTGATTTTCTGAGCTCCTGTGCTTTTCGCTGTTCCCGGCTGAGGGCAGCGGGATGGGGTAGGGGAATCTGAGGGGTTTGTTTTGCCAGAAGTGATTTTAATCCCAAACTCCTCCCGAGAGGAGGGAAACACCCTGATTCCTGCTGGCTGCGGTGCTCTCAGGGCGGTTCCCCGTCTGTGAGCTCCCCGAGGAAGGGCTGCTCCCTTTCCCTTTCAGTTTCTCCATCCTGAGCCAGCACGGAGGGTCCGGAGCCAGGGATGGGCTCCTCGGCGTTCCCCGGGTGCTGTTTGGGGTGTGTTTTGGAAATGCAGAGCCCCGGGGGTGGTGAGGCAGCGGGAATTTGGGGCAAAAAGCTGGAATTCACTCTGGATACAGAGAAGGAAATTATGCTCTCGTATCCTCGGAGCATCCCCGCCCTGCCCTCACCCCTCGGCACTTCTGCCACGTTCCCCCGGCTCACTCCGCTTTCCTTTTGTTCCCAGACCTGGCCCAGGGCCACCTGCAGCTGTCGCAGTTGGGCAGGGACCTGGCCGCGGACGGCAGCCCCGGGACCCCGCCGGGCGGGCAGGGCCGCTCCCCGGTGGCCGCCGTGCGCTACCGCAACCACGGCCAGCGCCGCTTCTCCATGGAGGCAAGTGCGGGGGGACCTGGGGACCTCTGGGTGTCACCTCCCCGCTGGCTGCAAGGGCCGGGATGAGCTTTAGGACGTGGCGGTGTCGGACACGAGCCCTGAAACGCTCTGGGGGGACATCGGTGGGGTCAGGCAGGGCCTGGGGTACATCCCATGTGCACCACCCGTTTTCCTTTTCCTCTTCCTTTTCCTCTTCCTTTT